CAATAAATCCACCAATCAATAATATGCAGTGGGTTTTCAGCTAGTGTTCATTTGTGTGAGGTGGTGTCTGAAGCATAATCTTCACTGCATACCCTGGTTTGTCTCGCTACATCGAGTTGTCAAGCCCTTGGCACACTAACATCTGCTGCACAGATTACTTGCAATGTGACGCCGCGGGAGACCTGCTCTATTGTAATTCACTAAAACGGAGGAAATTAATTCACAGCATTAGCTAGCAAGAGAAGCCTCCATCCTCACCACATCGGCATCAGCACTGAGAACGGGTGACAGGAGCATATCGACAGCAGTACTCCTATTAATTTACATCTCGCAGATGAAAACATACTAGTCTAATTTCATGTTTCAAAAACACTGAAGGGAATTGCAGTGATTTGCACTGGGAGAGAATAATCTGTACAGCCAGAAGATAGCTACTTCCAGATATCTATGCCATGAGACTTATTATAAGAAGACACATAGCAGGTCCAGCTATGATTTAAGCCAGCAGGGATGCAAATATTATCAAAAGATGTAGGCTGGGCTCACTTATTTTCTGCGCTTCCCTCATTACATATCTTCTCGTTGACGCACTTTCAAGATGCGTTCCTGAAATTCCAGCCACGCCATCAGAAACGATTAGTCCCAGTAAGGTCAAATCTTAAATCCAAATATAGAGTTATGAGGTGAAGCAGCTCTTGGATGCAGCTTGGGGTTAAGTCAAGGTATGGTGAGATTACCTCATGTTGTTACCACAGAGATCTGACACTAACTCATATAAAAGAGTAATGAAGTGGGTGGAATATAAAACAGCCAGCTCCACTTAATGAATTGTGAATCATATCCCCAAAGTGACTCTGGAGGCCGAACTGTCACTCAGCAAGGCCTCATCAGAAGGGCTCCATGAGGTACCACTTCTGGTGAGATTAGATAACACAGCCGCGCTGCGAGGGCTACACCGCTCCAGCACACACACACACACCCATTTGAAATATCCTCTTTGAAAATCTTCAGACCACGACACTTCAGGTGCTGGCTTCCAAGCGCAATAGGGCGCCTGTCAGCGGTGACGACGACCTTTTGCGGCCTGTCTTGACCAATCATTTACCCTGGCTGTCTGAAGGGGCCCAACGTCATCCACCATTTCAGCACTACTGGGGAAACAGCAGCTAAGGTGGCTCTCAGACACAATTACCTGTAGCGCTTTAACTGCGCACACTCTGAAAATGTACAGCGAATGGGGGAATAAATAATGGATTAAAAATAGTCACTGATCTGTGCGAGAGTAAGGAAATGTGACAAATGATTCATCTCTAAACAAAGGCTGATCACCAGCGATTTAAATTGAGCTACATGGGCCTGAAAAGGGTAATGGATTCCAGATTGATCTACTTTTGATGGATCTGATTGTGGATGTGGGGCTCACAAAGAATTAATCAGGGCAGCCTCATCTGGGAAGCTTTACTGAAATTCAGATTTTCTGTTTCCGCTGGGCCGTTCTGGTGCAACCAGAATGAAAAAGGATGGAAATGCCAGAACCAGAATATGGTGGATGAAAATGACAGCAGAACACGAGGGTGCTTAAATGTAATGAGAATAATTGATTTGTCTGTGTTTTTCTTTATTTACATATAAATGAAACTTTTATCTCACTGCCCACCTGCTTGAAATTTATTATGGGATGCCTCTGTATGACAGATATGAATTCATGCAAATATGCTTTTATTTGAAAGTGTATCCACTCTGAACCATATACAATAAAAGACCTCATGTCTCTCAGTCCGCAATAAATTACCATTTTTGACTATATTAACACTATTTTAGTGCCTGTCATTATAGGTACATCAAAAGGTTACAGCAATCATGAAGTTAAAGCTTGGAATTACAATGCATCAAGTTAGAGTGACAGTGTAGGTACTAAAGGGGGGATGTTCACAAAGCTAACCTTTATGCTGGTGCTGAACCCATAAACCAGATTTACTGAATAGCCCCACCCAGCATGTTCCTGCTGTCTGTCTGTGGTGTTACTGGGACAGTGTGTGGCTCCGGGGATTAAGACTCTATATCAGGGGTCATTTAATTCTTCTCAAGGGCAAAATTCAACTAACTATGCCATGGCACACTCACCCCCGGATGCCAGGGCACACTCACCCCGGATGCCATGGCACACTCACCCCCGGATGCCAGGGCACACTCCTCCCCGGATGCCAGGGCACACTCACCCCGGATGCCACGGCACACTCACCGCCGGATGCCAGGGCACACTCACCCCCGGATGCCAGGGCACACTCACCCCCGGATGCCAGGGCACACTCACCGCCGGATGCCAGGGCACACTCACCGCCGGATGCCATGGCACACTCCTCCCCGGATGCCACGGCACACTCACCCCCGGATGCCATGGCACACTCCTCCCCGGATGCCACGGCACACTCACCCCCGGATGCCAGGGCACACTCACCGCCGGATGCCAGGGCACACTCACCCCCGGATGCCAGGGCACACTCACCCCCGGATGCCAGGGCACACTCACCCCCGGATGCCACGGCACACTCACCCCGGATGCCAGGGCACACTCATCCCCGGATGCCACGGCACACTCATCCCCGGATGCCACGGCACACTCCTCCCCGGATGCCAGGGCACACTCATCCCCGGATGCCACGGCACACTCATCCCCGGATGCCACGGCACACTCACCCCCGGATGCCACGGCACACTCACCCCCGGATGCCAGGGCACACTCATCCCCGGATGCCACGGCACACTCACCGCCGGATGCCAGGGCACACTCACCCCCGGATGCCAGGGCACACTCACCCCGGATGCCACGGCACACTCACCGCCGGATGCCAGGGCACACTCACCCCCGGATGCCATGGCACACTCACCCCCGGATGCCATGGCACACTCACCCCCGGATGCCATGGCACACTCACCCCCGGATGCCAGGGCACACTCACCCCCGGATGCCAGGGCACACTCACCCCCGGATGCCAGGGCACACTCACCCCCGGATGACACAACATACGCATCTCCAAATGAGATGCCATATCTATCCCCAGATGCCTCTCCTCCATCTCCTCCAGAAAGACATAAGCAAACTCCTCCACAAGTGCAGCCTGCATTTCTATCTAACTAAGCAAGTGGTGGGTAAATAGAGGGATGGAACCACATTACTGTGCCTGACTAGACCAATGGGAGCCGTTTCATTCTCACACCGGCAGTGTGGCATGAACACAACGCTGTACAGCGTTCGTTTGTCCACAAAAAGCTCTGGAAAACCAAACAAAAGGCTCACGTTGACGCCATGACGACCGCGACGCTTCGCCACCAGCTTTTCCTCATCTCTGCGGTTGCCAGGTGGGGGTGGGGTGTCACTTTTACCTTGAGCCAGCACCGCATAAGAGATGGACTTTAATCCACAGCTACCTTCAAGAATAACAAAGCAGCTGCTCAGCAAATAGCAGCTCCTTTACTTTCCATTTGCTGGAGACAGGTGACCTGTGCTGTGGCCAGCAGTAAGCTCTGTGTAACACAACTGCCATTAAGCTTATAAAATAAGTCTTGCAATGGCATGTTCCTTGTGTTGACTTCAGTCAGAGCAATTACATACACCTCAGAGCTCGTTCCGGCCTCACATTTTTCATTCAGAGAAAGCCATTTAGTTCCTAAGAGGGCTTGGCTCCTTTTCCCTTTCATTCTTTTTTATTTCTCGCAAGGGTGGCAGTTAGTGACTTGCTGCGGTGCCCAACTGATGAGCTCATTAGGGCCGATCTTGAGAAATAGCAGCCCGAACGACCCCATGATAATTGGCAGAGAAGATACAAGGGACCGCAGCACACAGTACAACACAGACCTTGTGTCTGACCAATCAAACGCGCACTATAATAAAAGCCACATATGATTTTCTTAAATGAATGTAAATTTTGAGATGTTCATTAGGTGCCAAGTGGCACAGCGACTCAGTGGGGGACACGGTTGCCTATCACCTCCAGAATTGGGGGTTTGAGTCCCACATTCCCCCCTCAATCAGGCGGGTTTCTGCCTGCAGTTGAAACTCTGCAGTTATGCTAGTGATGGTGTTCAAATTGCCGGCAGTCTGTGTGCCCTGCAATCGTGTGGATGGCATCCAGTGATAATTGATAAGGATTCTATTGTTTAAGTCCAGTTATTTCACTGATTACAGTTACGTATATGAAAATCAACTGACATCTCCTACAAAACAGAAGCAGTATCTATACAGAGGAATCTAAAGTTAAACCATCCTGTATCCATCTTTTTTAAAAAAAAAAAAAAATCATAAGCAAACATTCTAGGATTTATCATAATACTTGAGTCATTTTTTATAGCATTTCACCGAAGTTCCTACAGGCAAATATAATACATGTTCAAATATTGTTTATTTAGCACTAGTTTGTATGTATAATAAAAGTAGTTTACGACAAATAAATACATTTTAATGGGGTAATATTTATATGCCACTTATATGGCTCTGTAAAATGTAGTTATATAATGCAATGTAAAGTCTGAGGGACTGAAGTGTACAGCTCAGATATAAACCACCAAAAGGCCTGAAAATCCCATTTGAAATGATTGCTGTTTCAATACTGCCTGTTCGGGGATTCAATTCATTACAACACAAATAAAACCAAAGGCAGGCAAATATTCCGAAACCCCTGCAAAGCAATCTAAGATCTGAAAAAAAAAGAATAAATTCAAAATGTCTATCAAAGCAGTTCATTTGACATTTTTCACCCTATCGGTTGTCCTTAAAGACTGTGGGATTAGAGTGGATTGAGTCACTGGGCCTAATGGCCCCACAGGATCCTGGTTTCCATTTGTTGTCCTCCTCAGCTATCATTTAGCACCTGTGGGGTTTGTCGGTTATGATCCACGTCCATTTATTTTTTATTTTCCTTTGCACTTGCATGGGCTTAAGTTATTCTGAGCAGGCTTTTGCTGGTGCCCCTGCAGTCTCCGAGAGGCCGGCAGCATCTCACCTGATTGACGTGCTTCAGTTTGTCGATGATCTGATGCATCACTGGGTCAGGGCCTTTTACTATGACCTCCGGATTTACAGCTTGGGCTTTAATCCCGCTGTCCACCACCCGAAGGGTGTAGCTGCAGTGAAAAAGACATGGAAACGTCATGAACACTGTATCTACAAAAAGCTGGTGAAAGTTTTGGATTTCTTTGAACTGCCGTCCCTGTCACCTCCTAATCTCAGCAGCAAAGGAAGGCATTTTTTATCACAGCTTCCACCGAAAAAGGTCCTGTGGGAACCAGAGTTATCAGAACGCCGGCAAATCTGAGCCAACAAGATGTAAAGAAACAGATACAACTGCAGCCTATAAGGTGATCCTTCCCATTTCAGCAAAAGTGTGAAAATGTTTTCAAGGATGGTACTCAACTGAAGACAGGTGTCATATTATTATTGCAGCCTTGCAGTATATATATTTTGTAAAATATCACATACAGATGCTTGCATGTTTAAACTTATTTTGATGATGAGTCATGATGATGGCAGCATAATGTTAAAAGAATCATTCATTCCATACCAATGCATATGAAAGACATAATACAGATGTTAAGATATAACTGTCTTAGAACGTCCGTATCAACAATCACTCTACTCTGTTCTAATTTCTTATCATAAGTAATTACTCCGCAGCAATAACAATAATAATAATAATGATAACACTGAGGAAATGCTTAAAAGAAATTCAGTCTGTGTTCAGCTATTGAGATTCTACAATACACCCTCTCATTTGCAGAGCGTACTTCAGTATTTTAACTGCGGCATCAAGAACTGTGAAGCCCTCTAAATGTAACCTAATGGCAGCACCTGTAAGCCAAAGACAGAGGCTAAAACGGCTTAGCGGAGCGGAGCTAGCGGATAGCGGAGCTAGCGGATAGCGGAGCCCCCGCCAACCTGCTCCGACTTCCCTCTAAGACTTTAATCATAGCTGACACCTGAGCCACTTTTCCTGCCTCTCCCTCGCACATTTTTCATAATGTTTTCATAATGCTCTGAATGGGGGGGGAGGGGGGGCAGGGACATGCAGAGGAAAGACACCCTCTGTTCTCTGCATAGACCTTGGCTGCTGTGAAAGGTAAAGTGAGTGAAATATAAAGAAGCGAGATGCTCCAGGGCTGAAGGAATTCACTCTCATCATTCTGCTTTTTTATTATTATTTTGAGAGGAAATAGGAAATGCATTTTTAATGTTATTCCTTATTTTTTAAGCACACACATATATTTTTATAAACCTCCATTTATCGCAGTACTTATTCTACAAAGCATTCTGATACTTAGTCTGATTCACTAGTATTTGAGAATTAATCAGCAAATGTAATTTCGTAAAGCTTGTAGTTCTGTAAAGTCAGTTACCATATTCTCCGTTTACACAGCATAATATCAATTTTAAGCTCTGATATTGAAGGCATTCAAGCATTAAAAATTCATTCATGCATTCAGGTTAATTTCATTGACTTTAACAATACCCACAAATACAAAGCAAAAAGTAACTTCTTAATCAATAAGCACTGATTTAGAGACTGCAGGTCCGACATTTTCAGACCTCCACGGTGGGTTAAGGACGGCACATCGTACCGTGAAGTTGGACGGATCAAATACTGGAAAGGCGTATAACTGGGTCTTCGACATAATTTATAGTCAGTGCCCTGGAGTACAGACACAGCACACATCCATTTAAAAAACGGTCACCGCCTCCGACTGCCTGCACGCCAGCATGCCCGAGATCATTTCAGAAAGGAGCATGTGCATTATTAAACTGTTTTAAAGCTCATGTCCCTGATTGCTTTATGCTTAATTAAGCCATCTATCTACATGCCACATATTAACATTTCAAATCATCTAGAGGGACATGAAAGAGGTAGCAGGCCATAACTCCTATAACTAACACATTTTCCTAAGTTGAGTGCAGAATAATGCATCATTATGCAATAATAACCCTGTCATCTGCATGCTGTTTCTTTTTTCTCTCCAAACAGAAACCAAATTCATCATACCGCTATGAAACACCTTAGCCTCGTACATGACCTAATCGGTCATTTATTTATTTATTAAAGTACTACGGTACGCCCTGAAAGGAATACCTGAACTACTTCTGACAAATGCAGGTTACCCAGAATAATGGCGTAATAAATAACACCTACAGGAGAAGATCAACGCTACAAGAGACAGGTAGGACTGATCAGCGAGTTAAAAAGTTATTTTATTTCTGGGGCACCGTCAACAACAGCGATACATCCACTCGTCTGCGATTATTGATGAATGTGTGATCAAATACCGTTTTGGGGAAGAAAAAAAATCGGGATTTAATACCACCGATAATTCAGGAGCCTCTTTCAAATATTAATAATCTAGAAAAAGTTTTTAGGTAATCATGGGCGTAAATTATGGGGGGGGTGTAACCGCCCCAATAAATCAAAACCAGCTAACACAAACCCCCCAATAATCATGTTTCCCCCGTAATGGGTGGAGACCTCAACCCCCCCAATGTTCCAGCCAAAGTTACGCCCTTGCAGGTAATGTACCTAAAAGTATCATCCTTTGCTGCTAAAGGTGATCTCACCCATTACACACAGGGTGGGCGCGGTGAAAACATCACGCATTCCATTAATGTGACCTGCATGCCTGATTCCTGGGTAGTATGCAATAGATTACTATCTTAATGTTTTTAAGCTCAACAATCAAAATAAAATTAAGCATTTATCTTAATGAAAACCTTAACCGAATTTGACTTAATGTCCACATACGTGTCTCAATAAGACAGCATAAGACTGGAAGTAATTCAAATGTAATTTATGGGACTGTACGGAGAAACATATTCCTCATTCTATCCTGTATCATGTCAGCATGTTCACAATCTATAATAATAATAATAATAATAATAATAATAATAATAATAATGGTAATAGTGATGACGGACAGTGCAAAATGAGATGCTCCCGCAGGCTGTATTAGGACAAAACTGTTACAGTGAGGCGTGAGACTCCTTTTCAGATGTCAAACACATCTCAACAATAAATCAACAGAGCATTATGGGAAAGAGTGACTCTCAGACGCAGCAAGTACAGCGTGTCTGTGTCACACTAGGGAATACACTCCATACAGCGTGTCTGCGTCACACTAGGGAATACACTCCATACAGCGTGTCCGCGTCACACTAGGGAATACACTCCATACAGCGTGTCCGCGTCACACTAGGGAATACACTCCATACAGCGTGTCTGTGTCACACTAGGGAATACACTCCTTATAGCGAGTCTGCGTCACAAGAGGGAATACACTCCACACAGCGTGTCTGTGTCACACTAGGGAATACACTCCATACAGCGTGTCTGCGTCACACGAGGGAACACACTCCTTACAGCATTTCTGCTTCCACATTGAAGACATTACTTCGTCACAATAGGGATATACTGTTGACTGAAGTGTGCCATATTTTATACAATAAATTGTGGGGTTAACACCATTATTAGCACATTCACTAATTGCTTAATTTTCACATAAGCAAAGAACCACCAAAAGTGCCGTCTTTCATAATCTCAATGGTTGGTTTGACAAAATAACTTTTCTCCGTCTTCATTGGCAGGGGAAGGGATGATCATAAACTTATGCTCACTTTCGATTAGTAAGAGAAACAAGGAAGGAAATGTGCTTAGCATCCAAAACAAAAAGCAAACTATGCAAACTGATAGCCATTTTGGATATACAGGATGCAGGCAAATTCTACCCACCAAAGATTCTACTGTGTGAGAAACAAAGCTATGTATAACAAAATACCATGCATGCGGAATCTTCTTCTGACCGTCAAAGTCACGCTGATAAAGTTAAGTCTTAATCAATGAGTAAAAAAAAAGTCTCAAGATGTGATAACCATGTTTTAATACATAGCATCCAAGGATACGCATGTTCAGATACATTTTTGGTGACGCTCCCTAAGGTCAAACCACAACCCCCAAAATTCCTGTAGGTCCCCATCTTATAGCCCTACCACTTATGGGAAACACAGGCAGAAGTTACAATATGGACAAAATGGCCTCAATCCTCTACAGCACAAAAGTATGTATTTTCTAAAATGTCATAGCAAGGAAAATAAGGGCAATGAATTCACTAATTCTTATGTCGGCTGAAATACACCCATAAGCTAAAAATGTTAAAACTGACCCTTGTTAACTTTTAAATTGACCATACTCAGTGTATAATATTTCCCACCAATTCTCAATTAACAAACAAACACAAATATGTTATTCAAACAACCTGCCACATTCTGGCCACAACGGCAGTCATTGTTAGGCACACCTCAACTGCTGAGGACAAAACAAAAACAAAAATGGAGAGTAGTCATGGCGATTCAAAAACATTTGGATATCAATTGGAATAAATAACATGGAATCCCAGTACACCAATGAAAGTAGCAGTCACTTGCAGAAAAGCAACAATGAATCACACTGCAGACTTCCTCATTTGAAAGTTGGTTTATTGTTTTTTTCCACAAGATCTGAGTATTTCTCACACGTTTTATAAACTCTCTTTTCGTTGCATACGTGAATGACAATGCCAAGAGCATTCTGCATCCAAAACTAAAGAAGCAAACTTGTTTTTCCCCACCAAAATTTTAAGGCAGAATCAAAAAAAAAAAAAAGAAAGAAAATGCCGTAACAGCTTAATTTTCTTTGCAATAAAATAAACGAGCTCTGCTGTGTCAGAACAAAACCAAGCGATGTCTAAGGTCCTCCATGTGGTGTCTGCAATTACTAGAGACAAAAATGAGATTCTGACCACAGGCGGCTTTATGTTTGGTCCAAGACTCACATTTCATTTTGTTTGGATAAACACTGGAGAAAGATTAAACCGTTTATCATACCCATAACAGAAATGCTAAGGAATTAAGTACACAACACCAAAATGAGACCGTAAGTCCCACAATGGTTATTAGACTGAGTTACTAATTTTTTTATGTGATTTTGTAAAGCTTTTCATTATTTCAAACTTAATTTCCTTTTCTCACAATTACTAATAAAAACACACAATCAAAATGTTACTCCATGTAAGAAAAATATTTTTTATATCAATTTACTCTGCAGAAGAAG